CAAGGGATTAGCCAGCCTGGTTTTTATGGCGATGTGATTTACAAACTTCGTAAGATTTTGGGTCATGTTAATTTTTCTGCTGTTTTTACTAAAATCATTAAACGTCTTATTAAAAGAGGTTATGACCCTACTATTTTAAGACATACTGCATGTTTAGTGTTCAACCCTTTTACAGTTGGACACTACGCTTTCCTCTTTTGATTGCATCTGACGGACCAAGTGGGAGACTTTATGATGGATAGTTCGTAAAGCCCTTTGGACTGAATTGTCTTAATGTTCGTCTTCTGCCTTGCTTCGTCGGGCCTTGTAGGTGATTTTCTTGTTGCTCTGTCTTCCTTTAGGACATTGAGTACTTTTGTTATGGTCATTGGTTTACTTTTATATGTTTCTACATGATCATTTTAGTGTTTTACTTATTTAACCTTTTGTAACCATGACAACTGTTAGAATTTCACTTGGCAGGGATTCATTTTATTTACACTGTCTCGTTTATAGGAACATGGTGGGGCTAAGAGCGAGGTTAGGTGCACCATTAACCGGTTTAAACTCCCCAGCAGTCATTATTATGCTGCTGACCGTTCCAAGGCGGCGCCCCACTGCGTTCCTCAAGATGTATGTCTTATGTTGTTTCATACTGTTTTGGTGACACTTTTGCTTGTGTCCCTTGTTGTTTTCTCGTCTACGGTAAGTATCTTCCCCATTGCCTCTAGTTTTTATTTCTTTGATTACTCCCCACCCCCTCCCCCCCGGGCTCCTGGTCCCTTCCCCCTATGTGGGCCTATTTTTATTTTCTTTGAATTCCTAATCAGTTACAAATTAATTATCATTTAATGATTAACCTGTCCGTGCTCTGTCTTTGCCCTGTCCTGTTTTTGTTTTGGGCCCCCCTGGGCTCCTTGCCATTGGTTCTTGTTGCTGGGTCATGTGGGGGTTGCGTTCATTGAACGCCGCCACTCCTTGTTGATCTTGTTTATCATATTTTAACAAAATCACACCTAACTTATTAAGTTTAGGTCGAGAGATTAGATTACCAGCAGATTTGGTATATGGTTTTGCTTCAAATCCGAAAGAGGAACCAGAATATGCAACTCATATAGCCAAGCTAAGGGACTAAATGATGCATGTACATAATATAGCAAGACTGTATTTGAAGTTTAATGCAAAGCGAAGTAAAACGATCTACGATACAAAGCATGTGATGTGGTATTGTATTTGCATGAAACGAAGAAGGTGGGCGTCACACCGAAATTAGAGAAGATGTTTGACGGACCATTCATCATAAAAGAAAAAATTTCAAACGTGAATTTTGTTATACAAATGGACCAAGATGGCAAGAAGAAGTTAGAACACCATGATAAGCTGAAACCATATGTTGGTGTTAATATTCCAAGTTGGATACAGAAGATCAGCAAGACATTAATGAATGAAGAAAAGCTCCAGTCAGTAGAATGTTGTAGTCCATGAATAGCATATGTAGCAGTACATTTAGATGTAGCAGTATTGTAAATACTGTAAGAGTTACATCAAGAATAAACATGTCATCAAAACTCATCAAAATCAGCCATTGTCAAGATTGTTAAAATAGATAAATACAGAATCCCTAAAGAAAGCCCAGCACGGCAAAATTAGAATTGTGGCAGGCTCGGTTTGATTGAGCCTGTTCATGGACTGTACTGGAAAGTGCAAGTTACCGTCCACGCCCCCTAGCACCGGCTTGAGGAGAATTCAACATTTAAACATGAAAAGAGTAAAATTTGAAATTTAGAAACATCCACAGATGTGTTCATACGGCGGTTATTATAGAAACTTCAATGTGACACTTCCGTGCCATTCCATGAAAAGCGGCGTATGGTCCCCAAGTAATACAAAGCGTGTGCCCTAAACGAGAAAACAATGGGCGGAACTAAATAAAATGGAATTTTGAGAGGGGATCAGAGGTTATGAAGCCTGCGTATCACAGATTTAAAGACAAATTTAAAAAGCAGGCAACATATCCTAAGGGTGATTCAACATTATTCAAGTAGGAATATTGGAACCACCCAACTAGAAAATGCCGAAACGTTGAAACTAAAAATACCACAAGCAAGTTAAGTTTGTTGTCTGTCAACAGTCCTCCATGCCTATTGATGTTTTCAGATATCAAAAAGTTGTAACCCATTGGTAAAAATGTTCAAAATGGATACCGTTTCAGGTTATAATGAGTGAGAAGACACCAAGACGAGGCAAATTATACACCTGCTTACACTGTCTGAAGCAAGGGAAAACCTTTACAGAAGTACAGGTTACCTGGTGTTTGGAAGCACCATGTTCCGTTGTCAGAGGCTGTGTTCTATTGTTCCCTGTGTCTCTTTTGATGCACAACAGAGGAGGCGTTGATGAAACACGCGAAGACCTACAAAAGGCCTTTGTTAATGAAAATAACTGAAAAATTATGCAGAGTAGGTTATCATTCTTGTGTGCTGCACTCCTCCTCAATGAGATCTATCCACCTATGAGGTTTCAAATTGATACCTCAAATACTTTTTGAGATATGCCCCGGACAAAAATGTTGGACGGAAGGACGGACGGATGAAAACTATTTCTATATCCCCCGCCGCCTTTCGGCGGAGGATAATACCACATGGGTTTACGAGTAACAGTAAAAATATCATCATTCGTAAAAATACGGCTACCCTCGGCTACAACTCGGGTAATAGTATTTTTCTCGGGATGATATTTTAACTGATACCCACAAACCTGTGTGTTATTTATATACTATTACCCCTCACTTTTCGTAATGCTAATTTCCCATTGGCCTCTGGGAGTTATTTTTACTGTTAATGCAAGTGTACCACGTATTTTTAACAGCATAAAATCTGGCCACGTGGTCTATTTTCTAAATAAAATGAAATAAAATGGCCGCCATTTTTTTCTCGATTCATTCTTATTTTCAACGTGAAACCCCGATAGGACATCAATTTTTCTCTGAAGTAACTATGAAACTCATAAAATTTAGTTCTTTGCAACCTGGTGTGCTTTTCGCGTATTTGTTGAATAGTCAAAAAATGAACATCCGTTTTCAACGGAAGTAATTGCAATGTAAATAATTATGTGTCAAACTGGAACATGCAGACGATTTAAGCATGAAACAAAGGATTATTTAACAATTTTAATCAGTGAAACGTTACATATATGGTGGACAGACATAGGATATCATCGTTATTTTGTCAAAAATCATCCTAAGAATATTCTGGAAACAGAAGGATCAGATTTCACAGATCATAACCGTGTAAATGGGTAAGTGTTTTGTTTTCTAAACAAAAACCTAGCTTATTGTATGTTTATGATTTGTAGATATCATCACCTGCTTAAAGAATAAAAGAAAAAGAAAACGTCTCAAGTAGACCTAAAGTACACTTAGAACGTAAAAGGTAAGGACAGTTAAGTTATTGTTTCTTTTGGTTTTTTTTTGTAACAGTTAGATTTAGTTGACAATTTCAGATCATCACAGTGTTTTTGTTCGGGGTAATAAAATAAATAACACATTGGTTTTAGAGTACACCTCGGGTAACAGTATTTTCCTCGGGATGATATTTTTACTGTTACCCACAAACCCATGTGTTATTTATATACTGTTATGATATGTGAAAGCTGATCCTATCAAGAATATTCATCACATGGTTTTTCGACAATGGCTTTTAACGATGAAAACCTACATCTGCCTGTCACATATGTTAATGTTTTACGAATTAAATTCAATATATTATCATCTATTGCATGCTTTAATCGTCTGCTTGTTCTATTTTGACACATAAATGTAATTGTTACTCCCGCTCTAAACGGATGTTTACTTTTTGACTATTCAACCAAAAGTTATTTAAGACAAGGAAAGAACTCTGTAGGGTACAAACAACTAATTTTCTGGGTGAGGGTAAAACGCGGAAACAGAAAGGCTGTCATTTTATTTTTTTTAGAAATAAAAAACAACAAAAAACAACAACAAAACAACTTACGTGACCAGCTTTTTATACTGTTAAAAAGAACTTTTACCCTGTAACAGTACACATTTTGTTAGTCACGTGGTACACCTGCTTTAGCAGAGTGCCATATGGGAAATTGCATTACAAGAAAGTGAGGGGTAATAAAATAAACTGACATCCGTCTTTGAAAATATTAAATATAGAGATTACCTGATAAATCTGCAACACAAAAATGCCACTACACCTGCTAGAATTGTAGAAACAAATGTACCAGCTGAGACACTAATCAAAGTCCAAATCAAGGTAGAATCTGTCGTCGGTTGCTTCACATTTTTGGAAAGAAACATGTAACCGCCTTTTTAATTTAACAAATATTTCTAATTTTATTCATTGCATAAAGCATTTAATTACAATGCATTTACTGTAGCACAATACAATTTAACAGTTCATAATATAGCACACATAGAGTACATAAGAGGCAATGCTAATACATCTGTAGAAACAAATGTAGCAGCTGAGACACAAATCAATGTCCAAACCAAGGTAGAAGCTGTCGTCGGTTGCTTAGCTTTTTTGTGAATCTTTATATTTGAATTTAAACAATATATTATTTTGTTTACAATATTTTCATGTCATTAAATATAAATATCATACTATCTAACGTATGCTAGAATTGATGTAGAATATGGTTCATTATACGTTTCCTTTTCTCATTCTGAGTACATGAATTTAGCTAAATCATTCAAAGTTTTAATTAACGTGGTGAAGTCAAGAGATTCAGATGTATTAATGTTAGGCGAATAACAAAAATATGGTATTAATTTTGTTCTTATTACGAAATTTTAAGTCACAATAATATATTTATATATAGATATATTTTCTACAGAAACATTGAATTGGTTCAAGCTTACGTGATAAACCTATCTAACAACATTTAACTCAACACATCTTCTTTTAGTAAAAAAATAATTCTATAAAAGATATATAGTATGTAGATTATCATAAAAGAAAGTATCTTAATATATAAGTATTTACCCTTTGTTAATTCATAGTAGTGAATGTAAAAACCAGCTGAATTCCTGACCTCAACATGGTATTGCCCATAGTCTGACTGCGTCACGTTTCTAACTATTAAGGTGGATTGTAATCCAAGCGAAGAAATAATGTATTTCCTAACGTCATTCTGTAACGACAAGTTCTGGTTGTATCATGTGAATTTAGTGTTATTTTCCTCGTCTAAATATCTTTGTGCTAAGAATTGCAGCGTGACATCAGAATGAAGAACAGCAGTTAACTTTCTTTCTTTTAAGTTGTCAGCTGATGGCCTAGGTGGACCTGTAAACATGAGAGTCATAAGATCACAAGGTGCCGAAAATAACCATTATCCCTCATAATGTTTTTGTTAATAATAATTCAGTACACAATTTCAGCTTAAAGAAACACTGTGCTCACTCATTTAGCTGTCAACTTTAGTTGAATTAGAAATATATTGAAATATAACTATTATAAGGATGACAGAACAATGAAAGATAATGGAAAAAAATGTTTACAACATAATACACCACCTAAATTTTAAATAGACTGTTCCATTCTCTTATGCATTTAGAACGATAAATCATAGGTTTTATTTGCTGCTAATGCGTATTGTTGATTATTTTTTCATTGTACTAGTTAAAATAAAACAATACAATTTTGGCTAAATTTTAAGTTGTTTAAATTTTACTTGTTCACTGATTATTAACACTTGCCACATTAGTATGAATAATATGAAGTGGCGGCATGGCCGAGTGGTAAACGCATCTTGATCTAAGCAATCTAATGATTGCTAGCCGCATGGGTTCAAACCACGTCAGGGGCAAGGCTTTGTTTCCTTGAGCAAAAAACTTTTCACTCATTGCTCAGTACTGGTTGGTTACAGGAACGCATTTGAAAGTGTGGCTATAATCTTATAGCTTCATACACAATCGAACTGAAATAAATTCTGTAAAAACCAATGTGAATAAAACAAGGTCTCTCTAAAGTTATCAATAGCAATTTTGTTTCTTTCATAAAGACATATCAAATTCTAATGGAAGGCAAGCTGGGGATGGAGAATTAGTTTAAACAGTCGAGCGCGTAAATCATTACAAAAAATTTAAATAAATGAATCGTATAATTCAATAAACATAAAGGAGCGTCAGAACTTACATTTGACAATGAGAATAAGTCTTGATTTAACTCCTTGTCCAAGTATTAATATGTTTCGAGCAGAACACGAATACTCTCCCGCATCAGAGCAAGATACGTTATCAATAGTATGTTGAACAGAAATATTGTTTATCTTCCAAGCAATGTTTTCGTTCATTTCATTTCTGATTACTATTTCTGGATAAGGATTAGACTCGGCAATGCACTCTAAGGTCACGTCTTCATTTTTCTTGACAACGAACTGTTCTGTTTCTGATTTCTTTCCTGGTATGGCGAAGTTAATACTACTTGGAGGAACTGTAATGAACGGTACACATTTACATTAATCTGATTTACCCCTTCCTTAAATTTGCCTTAAAGTTTTTTCGTACATATACCTAAAGACCTACTCAAAGTTAGCAACTTAAATGTATATATATTGCTCAAACAAGATAATGTCAACATATATTTACTGATTTGTAATATGATTTACTGAAATAACTTTTATACAGGCGAAAAAAAAAACAACAAAGATTTTCTTTTTCAAGCTTCATTAAGCTATAAATTTATAAAATATTAGTATACTATTGAACAGTTGTGAAAAAATGCAAAAAAATAAACAACACAGAAATATAGTATATCATATAACACTTACACAGGACATCAAAACTGATGTATGTTTTCTGAGAACCACCAACGATATGATCAAACTGACATGTATTTACTGTGTATTTTCGTATTGCTTTACTTGCAATTTGTATAGTTACCGATTGTCTCTGTTGTGATAGCGTTTTGTGTAGTACTAGTGTTAAAACAAGTCATCTTTAAGGTGACCAACGGGTTACCTCCAGTGACAGTGTAATCTAATTTTACCGATTCTGACTCAACAATCTGATATATCTTGTCCTGTTCATAGCCAACTATAATCGTAGGGCCATCAAGCGGATCTTTAATGATATCAAGTAAATAAATGCTCAATATTTAAAATCAAATCATGTTATGTTATCTTTATATCCTAAATCAATGATAAAATAATTGTAATACTAATGAATTGTAATGATAATACTAATAAAACAAGCAATTATCATAGTATTGCAAGCAATCCATAAGTCCCCTACCGGTTAGAACCCCAGCAACATTCTGATGGGCCAATTTGGCCTTAAAATTTTTTCAGTGATTGAATGACATAAATAAACTTAAATCTTTTGAGTTCTAAGTTTGTCTATATCATAGTAGTGTGTTGTTAAGTTTACCTGCCTAGTAAGGAAATTATGTTTATACAACAGATAATCAAAAGGTCTAATTTTCTCAGGATGAATAAGTAAAACTAACTAACTTTTCTCTATTTTAAGTAAATTTGTTGGAAAAAATCTTTAAATTAAAGTGATCTCAGGAAACAGTTTTTATGAACAGACAGACAGACTTAAGGAGACTCTTAAGTTATTTTTTTTAAACATCCCTGTCACTAAAATAAAACATATTTTAATACAAAATTCTTAAAGAGGACAAAATTCTTGAAAAAAAGATGCCAGATTTATGAACATTGATGCGAGTTTTACTTTAAGTTTCAATATATCATTTATAGTCACAAAGAAGATAAGTAAAAAAATAACAAATTTTCAAATATAGCATATATGATGTGGTTGATGACCAGAAACAAATATTTAAAGTTTGAAGTAAACACCTTAAGAAATTAAGTACTTATAGTGAAAAAGCATAAAAATTCAAATCAGAAAATCTTGAAATTCAGTTTATTTGTTGCCATAGCAACCAGAATTTTCAATAAAGGAAGAAAAGAAAAAGATGTGCATAATTTCCAGACTGCCATTTATCAATATATTAAGTTTCATAAAAATATTTTCAGTACTTTTTGCGTTATCGCAGGATCCAGTTTAAGTGTAAAATTGGCCAAATTTTCAGTCTATTTGTTATCATACCAATCAGAATTTTCAACATAGGAAGAAAAGAAAAAGACGTGCATAATTTCCATACTGCCATTTATCAATATATCAAGTTTCATAAAAATATTTTCAGTACTTTTTGCGTTATCGCGGGATCCAGTTTTGTGGACGGACGGACTAGTTAATCCGCTAGGGGGCTTATAGTCACGAAAGTGATAGTTCTTTATGCAAAAAAGATCATATTAATCAAATGTTTGTAACGTTTGTTTCATTACGTACATGTCACATTCAGTAAAATTTCTTTGCTTGTAATGTCGAAATATGCCGATGCTGTCCATACTTCACAATATAGGAACGAACTGTCGTGTGTCCGGTTAAGAATAACATGAAGTATACTTTCAGCTGATATTAACCCGTCTTTCTGTGAAATATAGGATGGTGTCGAAAGGTCTGTTATGTCTTCTGTAATAGTTGAATTTCGAAGGTACCATTTAATTATCGGTTTTGGATAGCATGACGAGGAATTACAACTGATAGTTTGCATTTCATTTCCCTCTATATACAATTTTTTATTATAGAGAAATGCAATGTTAACACTCTTTGCTGGAGCTGAAATAGTAGTATTTGAAGCGTATCTTATGAAAAATACATTATGTGAACATACGCTATGTATTTTGTACATCAGAATAAATGCTATGATAGTAGTCTGTTTGCACACTAATCACTGTAAAGTACGCTTTTCATTACGCCTTAAATAACTGTTCATGACCAATTAAAACAATAATCTGTTTGTATTATGAATATCATAATTATATACAGAATGAATGCAAAATACATAGTAGTACACATTTATTTATCGGTGTCACAAACACCAAGGGAAATCTTTTTTGTGAACTAATTATTTGGTTATTGATCTGATAAAGATGCTGAAATATGACGTTACTCATTAAAACTGTCAATAGTTCTAAAACATGCATACAAAACATAAATCTTCTTTAATGACAGATAAATATTTTGTCAAGACAATCGGTGGTAAATCAAGAGATGTCGTGCTGATGTAGTCGTTAGTTTCACTTTGTTCAATGTAACATATTCTAGACAGGAAGGTACGATAGTTGATTTATTGAAAATATGGTAAAAATATTTTAAAAGTGAAATAACCATAGTTTTGATATAAATATATATAGAAAAAAACTTAACAACTTTTGTGTGTTGTCTTTTAAAACGGCATACTATATTAATATGACGTAACTTTCGCTGATCGTGTTTGTTCTTGTACAATTGACAACAATCAATGTCACAGTCAACAATAAAGTTTTTAAGTTTGAATATCTGACTTAAAGTAAAACACATTAAAATAGTTCTTACCTCGAACAGTAATGTAAGCAATATTGCTATTCCCATACCCTTGAGAATAATACCATTCTTGACCATGGTTACTTATATTAATACGCTTTATATTAACTTTGAAAGTACCATTACTAAAACAACTTGTTTCAAAATAACGATTATCTGCAAGGAATCCGTTTGTTGAACATTCTCCTTCTCATGAGATATACAGGTGTGCAAATGTGTCCAGATGATTTAAAGTTCCCCACTGCGTAATAGTTGCATTTTCGAAAGTATAACACTCTAGCTCCAAGCTGCTGTTAACCAATACGTCATTGTTAGCTGGTGAGATATTCGGGTTGTTCAGAATTACAACTGTAAAATCAATTTCATTGTTTGTTCAAATAATTATGATGAAAATTTAAAATAAGCCTCTCTGACCGATACATGTAGAGAGCGAAGATCATCAAGATAAGGCGAAGGAAGAAAAGAAGTTCTGAATTGAGGTGAGATGTTTAGTTTTTATTTTGCGAAATGTTATGCAAAGAAAAACATGAAAACTCACCGATGTTGTTAACATATAGCTTACATTTGGCGATGTTAAATCAAAGGTAAAAAAACCCTTGCATTTTACTATTTTTTGTTTGACAGTTTTAAGTTTCAATGAACGGAGATTTTGTAATATTAAATTCAGAGAATGAATATTAATACCCTATGGTGCAGAGGTAGAATGTCCATCTTGCGTGCAAAAAGGTTTTGTTCGAGTCTCAGCCAGACCATATTCTGACGTTTGACATTTAAGTATAACATTAACCTTTGTCACAGGGACAAGAAATTTGCAAAAAAACTCACTTTTACGATGGAATGTCTCCCAAAATAAATCAAAAGCGTGATAAACTTTTGCTCTTTACATCATGTAAAATTGTGACCTTGTCATTTGCTCAAAAGCTGGTTTGTTCTTGTGACACAGCATAACATAACATGTTTGCCAATTCCGTGTATGTATAAAGAAGATATGCTATGCTGCTTGGACGCCGTCTACCAACCAACTTTTTAAAAGTTTCGTTATATAGTTTCTTTAACGGGTGGTAAGAATATTCCATTATTTCCGTGAGATTGACCGATTGCAGTTTGAAACCTTTTTCTCATTTATTGTCCACTCATTATCAGTACAAACAGTTTCAAAATATGAAATATATATACATTATATATATTATTTCCAGTCTGATTTATTAACAATTTCTTTTAATGTCAGATCGCCTTCAGGAAAATATCAGAGAAAGTACGAAATAAATTTTGAGTTAAATTATTAAATGAATTAATTTTATCAAATGTTAATTAGAATAAATTATGTCTTCTTGTTTGTCAGTATACTGCAAAATTGTATTATTATAAATAAAACTTACGATTTGCTCCACTTAAGAATAAAAGTGCTCCTAAAAACATTGTTTTGAAAACCAGTAATTGCCAAATAGTAGTTCAAGAATAATATCAGTTTTTGATTAAATAATACGCAAATTCACGCAGATGCCTTTAGACGAGCTATTAAAATATTTTCTGTGAAATGTTGTGGTAATACAAAACGTTTATTAGAAACATTCTTTGAGTAGCCTGCATCAATGAACTGTTAAATTTGAATTAAAAAGTGAATAGTTAATAAATGACACATTTACATTGTTAGTACTTTATTCCTGAAGAAGCCTGAGAAATATTACTTACATTCATGTACCAAAGGATGAATAGAGCAATGACTGATGAACAATGAACAGAAGGAAATTTAAATACTCTTCCGTTTTAATGAAACGTATGTCAGTTATTAAATAAAACTCTTTAAACATGATATAACCTTATGTGTAGATAGTTTTATTTAATGACTACAGCCAAACGGAAGCTATTTTGTTTTAACATGGTATCAATATGAATTATTTAGTAATTGCTTGGATTAAAAAATGTACAAACATTGATCTATTAACAAATATCACTGACGTTAATTGATTAATAGAATTTTCTTTGATAGTTTCTAATATATTTCACAAATAACTAGGGAATCTTTACTTTATATAACGATTTGCACTAGAGCTGTAACTGTAAAGGCTTGGTTATACCCCCGGATTAGCTCAGAAAAATCCAATTTATTCTTAAGTTCGAAGTGAGCCTATTAGGTTACACAGAATTTAACAAAGGCATTTATTATAATATATTTCCGTGAGTCCTACCCTATAAACTTTTACTTTAGAAACCTGTTACATTTATTTACTGGTATTTACTTAGCAACTGCCTTCTGGACCCATTGTAGATTATTTTTATTCTCTATTCTGCCTTTGATATTCAGCTATTTTTAACATTGATATTTTGGAAACTTTATTTTGTAAAACTAGTTTTGCATATTACAGCGAGCAGTTGTGAAATTAAATTGCAGTTGGTTTAACAAGCAATTTAGAATCATTGTTTCTAACTAGTTTATGTTACCAAATATTAAGCTTTAGAAGATCAAATAACTTAAAAATCAGATCACGTTTTACATTGATTTTGACCATTGTTGACAGCAAGGCAGTTTGCGCCAATTTTTGTGGCAAGTTTTTCTTTCTATGGTTGCTAAAAGATGATATCAATTTGGAGTTGCTGTCGAAATGCTGTGAGGAAAGGCATTTTTCATGTGTGAAATATACTATAATTAATCAAATGGAAGATTTAACTCGTTGTCTGTTTTGTGTGGTAAATGTTGATTAAGTTTTTAATTTTAAAGAGAAGTTATACAGTGCTTACAAAAGATACATTGTGCTTATTGTAAACGCCTTTCAGAATATTAATGTAGCTGTATTTATTATCATACCTGTATCTTATACATATACTTTTAGAAATGATCTAACAGATAGTTTATTTGTTTTTGGAATGTTTTGAAAGTTTGGTAAAACGATAGGATAAAAAGCAATTTGATTTTTGACTAAAACTTGATTGTTAATCTGCAGTTACAATACTTAAATAAACCTGAGTCAGTTCTATCCATACAGTTAATGTTGCTTTCGGATAAAATATATCAAACAACAAACCTTTGAAAAATAAAGAATGTGAATGTTTCGATGGTCACAATGTTGCTATGGAAACATGAACCAGTTTTATAAGCTTGACACTTTTCGAAGAAAAAATAGATTTACATGTGTTAAAACAGTCCTGGCGGCGTTTAACCTTGATCATAACTTTTTAAAATTTCAGTTTATTGTCTTTATACTTGGCGATAACAATCTTTGAGACAATACTTTTAAGAAGACTAGACTAAACGTAACCTTCATTTATAAATGACCTTGACCTTTAAGGTCAAATGTCTAAATTTTGCTTACTTTTTTGCTGATTTTTGCTATAAGTGGCTTATTCCTTTGTTAATTTGAATGAATTTGTCTTCTAACTTGAAACAAAACAATCTTTTGAGGATAGATTTCAAGTTAACTATACAAGACCTTGACCTTCAATCGTAGATGACCATGATCTTGGAAGGTCAACTTTATTGAAAATTTATTTTTTCTGTTATCTGGCTATAAGTTTGTTTTTATAATGGATTAAATTCATTTTATTTAGACATAACATCTTTTTTGGTCAGACCTTAATTCATGGATATCAAACTTAAATTGACCTTGACTCATTTATGACCTTGACCTTGAAAGGTAAAATTATAGAATTTCACTACTAGTACATGTAATATTGGCTTATAAAATTGCCTGTAAATTTTGGTTTATTATCAAATGGGTTTATCTTCATACTTTGAAAGTCCTTCTTTATTTGGTAAGATGACCGGTTGAGTTTTTCAAATGACCTTGATCGCGAAGGTCATACAATTGAATTATGGTTAAGTTGTCATTAATTTTATTTTCTACAGATTTGTATTATACGTGGAAAAACAAACACTTGTGACCAACGAGATCTGTTGAATAAATTTATATATGACCGTGACGTCATATGATTGAATGTTTCTAATATTTTCTTAACTTTGTCATTTTTTTATGGGAAATCATTCATCTTGAACAAAACAACAAGTTTACTGGACATTCTACCCCAATTTTTGAAAGAAAAAAAACAACATGTTTTTTACTTTATTTTTTTTTAAAGATTTGTTTTAACCATTTTTTGTCTGCTTTTGAAAAGTTATAAAAGTCAAAAGCGTTCCCCGCTAGACTTGTTTACAGGAAACAAGTTTAATGTAAATATTTTTTAATTACATGGACCCTGTTTGTTTGATTTACTTGAACCTTAACAAATAATGCATTTGGTTTTCAGAAGTTTTCACTTTTGGTTAAGGACACGTAAGTTCAGTTCTATAACTTGAGAAAAATATGACAGTTGAAGAAATTCAAAAGAAAGAGGTTGCAATATGTTTGACAGTAGACAATTAAAGTATCCAAGATACTATGTAAACTAGAAACAGAATATTCCATTAAGTATAAGATAGATAAATAAACATTTTTTTATTTCAACTCCAATGAATTATCCAGTAAAATGGTATTCATAATACTGCACTTTTTTACGGTTTTACAATATAAAATAAATATCATCAGAACAATATATAACACAATTATGAATGTATATCAAACCTCATAATTAGCAGTTTTCATACATGTTTTAGTTCTGAAAAACAATAATTTTGTATCACTGTTTAGTCTTAAATCTCCCACATTCTTCGTATGAGGAGGCCTTTATATAAAAATTTCTGACAGTCTATATATTAGACATGACTACTTTGTCTGCACTGTAACTCTGTCCGAAAGAGCATGATACCCTAATTAATTTACAAATCTTCTGACTAACAATTAGGCTATATATAAATGCAAACAATAAATTACATTTGTTATAATACCCGTTACCCTATATGTTGAAATGACTACATGTCAAAAATTATGACAGTGAGTAAAAAGTTAAAACTCTTTACTGTCACGCGCTGGTTTTGAACTCTGATTTCTTGGGTGAATGTCATTAACAACATCCACTAGGCCAGAAGAAAATTACTACAAATGCTTCAAAAATAAATTATAATACCGTTAAAACTACTCTCTGCCGTTATTCACTTATTCAGAAACAATAATTTCAACTTTCTTTATCTAAAACTAAAGATATTA